TTATAAATTAATATTATTTTGTTTAATTTATTGTATATTATTAAATTGTCAAAATAGCATTAAAAGCACTATTTTGTACTTTTTATTATTTTTTATATATTATTTTATATTGTTTTTATTTTTATGTTAAAATATAAAAAGGGCTAAAAACGTGTGTGTATATGTGTGTGCATGTATGTGTACAATAAGTAGAAAAATGATAAGTAGAATATATCAAATATAAAAATAAATATTTTTACATTTTTGTTATAATATTTTTTACATTTATTTTGTATTATATAAATTAAATTTGTATAAATATAATCCAAAAGTATATTTCTACATAATGAGCATAAAAATATTTCAAATATATAAATATATTTAATTATAAATGTTACATAAATATTAATACTTTTTCCTGATATCTTTTTGGCAATATTTCTGCATGTTTTAATATATAAAATGTTGCCTTTAAATATTACTTTTTTTTTTTAAAAAGGAAAATTTCAGTAATATTTTACAAATATATATAACATTTTGGAGAAACACAAAAATCCTCAGAGACTCAGTGGACCACAGGAGAGCATGTAGGAAGCAAGAGGCGGGTTCTACTGTGGTCCAGCACAAACACAGATTAAACCACACACACACATGCACACACACACACAAGCATACACACATGCACATACAGACCTGCACATTTTCTCATACAGATTCCTGTTCTGTTCTCAGATTTCAGCTTCATCCAGAGCTCTGTTAGGACTTTTTGTCTCAGTGGTCACGAGCCACCTCTGATCGTCCTGAAGGAGCCATTCTGTTTAGAAACCCGATCCGTCTGAAATGACTGCGGCACTGGAGTTTTGGGTCCCTGAACCGCTCTGTAATTAATCACCGTGGGCCAAATCTAATATGTCGTATAGCAGGACAGAGGAACAGTGTGGACAGGTGGACATTAAACTTGATCAGAGGGTCAGACTAGTTCTCATTTCCTGCCAGAGGTCTCAAATGAATGTTCGCCATCGATATTAAACGACCACAGAATGATTATTGCATTGCCAAATGTAATATGATTTAATTTACTTTTTAGTTGGTGTTCGTTTTTGTCAGTACCTGCACACAATTCTTGTGTCTAGTGAAAGCGTCACAGTAGGGCCTACAGTAAGACTATTGTTTTGTATTAGTCTACACATTTTTTGAAATGTTATGTTTACATATGCAGATGAGGCAAATTTATCTAATTAAATATGCTCTAATTTGCATAGAATTCCAGAACCGAAATCGTATTAAAGCCTTTTTTTAAATTCGTGTTTCATTTTGTTGAGTTAAAAGTTTTTTGGATAAATTTTTTGAGATATAGCCTATCACTCCATAAATCAGAAAATACTCTCAACAAGTAAGGTGACCATATTTTATTTTCCAAAAAGAGGACAGTAGGGGGCGGGGTTCACCTAACAGTACACAAAATACACAAAATACAATGTGTATTTTGGATGTTTTCTTTCTCCAGTCTGAAAGAACGCAATGGAAGCAAAATTTTAAACAGGTGTGTGCAGAAGAACGACATAAAATCTTTGCGTTCCATAAACAGTAATAGCATTTTGGTGAACTGTTCCTTTAAGAACGTTTCGAAACCATTTGAATGACTAACAAAGAAATGAATTAAATAAATTAAAAGAAAAGCGAGTGTGGACAGAACTTATCACACACCGGTCTCGACCTCAGTAAAGCCAAACACAGTGTTGAAATCTTGGATTGGCACTCAAAGGATTGTCAACAGATGCTGATAATGAGTTTCCAGATAACAGACACTCTTATGAACGTGTCTTTTTAGAGCTTGAATGGGTTTTTATCTCGCTGTTAGTTTAGGATATTAGGCAAACAGTAATGCGCTTGCGTCTTATATTACGTGCAAAACCCTTCGACTGAGTGTGATGCTGTTTGTCAGTAAAAGGTAGGTCTTTTCTCACAGATATCCATTTTTTAAACCCTCTTACGCCTTAAATTAAAGTATAATATTTCTAAAGGCTTCTCGCGCCCTTCCGGCCTGTTGGGAAAGTGGGCCGCGGGGGAAGCTAATGCACTGTGAGGGTCAAGCTTCACTGGCCGTCTCCATTTTGAAACCCTGCCTTTGGTTTCTATGGCCTCCTGTAAGTTTGGGGTGACGGGAACATTTGCACACAGAGACCGTAAGTCACGCTCAGACAGGCGGGCCGCGAGCGCTTTGTCCGGATCTGTTTGGTGGCTTTTGTTCGCGGTACACCTTCCTCTTCCTCCTCATCCTCTCGTTTGTTCACCCCAGGGCCAGGTTTAGACCACCGAGATGTAATGCGAGATTGTGTCGTGCTCCAAAGACCCGGTGGAGACACACGTGGAAACTTAACTCTTTCTCAAGGAATCCAGTCTGCGGTTAAATCTTTTTTTTTTTTAAATTAAGACATCAGAGCTTAGATGAGACTTACTTTCTCTTGACTAAAACCGCTGAAATATGATTCATTCATTCATAAGGCCATTCACACCATCTGATAACGTTGAACTCCGTGTGCAGCCTCGCAAACTCTAGCTTTGCTGAAATGTCTGATATATAAAGATATTTTCTGTTCAGACACACAACCACACACCTGTTTTATATGATATATTATACTTACGTGTGTTTATTTATTTTGGATTTGGTTTATAAAATATATGCTTATTAACCAAACCCAAAATCAATAAATGAAATAAATTATAATTTTTATATATATATGTATATATTTCACATTTCCTGCCTTATATACAGACACACATATAGACTTCAATATATATATTTTTTATATTAGGATTACACCTTTATTTAAATAATATACACTTTTCATTTATGTAGCTATATAAACTAGAAAAAGCTTACTGACCTAAAACCTTAAATATTAAAGGTATTTCAAAAAAATGTATCCAGGTAAAACACATCCTTGAATTAATTAATAAGTCATTATTTGTCTCTAATGATTAGCATTTTTAATAATTGAGTATTTTTAGTTGAAATAAACCAAAAAAGCTCCTCTTTGCTCTTCAGGTAAATAATTGTTTTGTGCTAGACTATAAACTGACACAAAAACATTTTCAATACTTTGAAAACAAATTAGATAGAAATAAAATATATTATAAAGATAAATAATACAATATTTGGATATTTATTGTATAGTATCTATATTTGGATATTAGTATATTATATTTGTTTTAGGGACTGAATTTTATTTCATATTTTCTTAGATATTTTGTTTTTATCTTGTGACAAGATCTTATTAAATTATTTATTATTATAGTTATTTTTTATTGTAATTATTGCAGTTCAATTTAAAAAGCCAGAAAAAGATGTGCGTGTGGTTTACTATATGAAAAATAAAAATAAATAAATAAATACTCCATGGTCATTTGATTTTCTGACAACCCAGTCTTTATTAGATTTGCTCCCTGTGTACATATTAAAATGACTTCTTGTAAATCTATACAAAATTATTTTTTTAACAGTTTTCAGAGCAATCTGTGCTCTTACATTGCTAGTTTATTAGTATTCCTCCGCAGAGACATAGACATCAGAGATTCTATCAGAAATTGTCTGTACAAAACATCTCATTCTGTGATATTTCAGGCCGGCGTTTATCTGAGAGCAGGAGAGAAGGTTCTCGTTGCAGCAGCTGCAGTCTTTCAGTCGGTGTCAAGGATGGGGACACCATGTGGACAAAGCAATGGAACCATCACAGGTTTGACAGATCAACATTTTCACCAGACCCGAATCGTTTAGCTTTCTCAAAATTCCTTCTGTTAGTTCTACTCTCTAAGTTTAATGTGTCACTCGAAACGAAATATATTTAGACCCTACGCAATGAGACAAATGCATGAGGTACGCAATTCCAGACCCTCTCTGTTCACCATGCATTTCCATCTAAAATTGGTCAAATTAATATATCAAAAGATACAAAAGTTTTAGAATTAGGACAAAGTTAAAAAATGGAATGTACAGCAAACAGCCGAATAATTTAATCTGCATCCCAGAACCCTTAGAAAGGAACCTTCACCATATGAGAGAGAGAGAGAAAGAAAGAACGAGAGGGACGTGTCAATGTGTTTTAATGGGATGTAAAACTCTGGTTATCTTGACTTTCTCAGGTGATTCTTTTTACGTCTCTCCAGGAAAAATCTGCAGTGAGACACAAAAAAATTATATAGTGAATATATCAGTTTTATTATGTCTTCTTTTTATTATGTCTTTGTATAGGCTAGTACAGGGGTCACAAAACTTGTTCCTGGAGGGCCGGTGTCCTGCAGAGTTTAGCTCCGACCCTAATCAAACACACATGAACCAGCTAATCAAAGTCTTGCTTGGTATACTTGAAACTTCAAGGCAGGCGTGTTGAGGCAAGTTGGAGCTAAACTCTGCAGGACAGCGGCCCTCCAGGACCGAGTGTGGTGACCCCTGGGCTAGTACATCAGTGAAGTAATGCATGTTGTTTTTATTGGAGCAGTTACACCACAAGACTCCAGAGGGCGATACAGGTGATTTCAAATATCTGTGTTGGATACATTACCACCTTATTTTGGAACGCAGAAGTAAGCTGTTCTCTT